CGGGCGGGCGGCCGGGGCGGGCGGCTGGGGGGGCCGAACCCGGGCCAGGCCCTTTATAGCCCCGGCCCCCGTGTCGTCAGCGGCCGCGATTGGCTGCGGAGCCAACAAAAGAGGTAGCGCTGTCATCCGAGGCGAGAGAGGGAGCCGGAGAGAGCCGAGGAAGAGGGAGAGGGAGGGAGCGAGGAAACCGGGCCGGGAGATGAAGAAACCGAGAGCTGAGGGGGAGGGGGAACGTACCGAGGGAAAGTCGAGTCAGACCCCAAGAGACGGAGAGAAAACTGGGGGAAGAGACAGATCCGGAGAGATCGAGATGGGCAGGGGAGAGACAGGGGAGAGACAAAGGAGGGACAAAACGAATCAGAAAGGGAAAGACAGAGGGAGAGTCAGCTAAGAGGCTGCCAGAGAAGGGAAAACTGAGAACTCCTGGGAGAGTTAGAATGGAGCGAGAGATCGCGAGGGAGAGCGAGACAGAGACTAGAGACTAGACCTACACTCTGAGACTGAAATCCACGGAGCAGACCAGGAGAGATGGGGGCGGCGGGTAGATACGGTAGTAACATGCAGAGGCACAGGTGGGAGGAGAGCAGTATCCTAGGAAAGAAAGGCAGAGGGACAGGGGCAGGGATCGAGAGGTTCGGGGAAGCCCCTAAGGAAGCAGATGCGGAGGATCAGAAGGGGTGACAAAGGAGGCTCCCAGGGAAGAAATAACAAACACAGTTACCTTTGTTGGGATTAAGGGTGGAGTGTGTGTGGAAGGCTTGGGACAGTGGAGCCCCAGCTGTGGGGGTAATTGCAAGGTGTTCAGAGAAGCCCTGGAAGGAACAATCAGGCTAGCTTCTTAGACTCAGAGAGATTAGGAAAGGGAGAGCCGGGGCAACCTGAGAATTTGCAGAGGCCGTGGGAAGCCCTGAGATAGGAGGAACACTTACAATTGGGAGGACTGTGGACTTGAAATTGAGGCGTAAGGAAGCACAAGGAATCAGCAGGCTGGAAAAGGTGGGAGCCAAGGAACCATTGTGTGAAGGAGCAGAAGAGGCAGGGCTGGAAACCACTGTGCACCTAGAGGAATCTGAACTGCAGGATTCCTAGCAGTATCTTTAGATCTGCAAGGCCTTAGATTCTGAGAATGAAGCTGCAGGGCTGATTATGAGAGAAAAATCAGCCTCAGATGCCTGAGCTAAAAGTGACAAGTTGTAAAAGGAGAAACTCATTGTGGAAGTAGCCTTCATTATCAGGGGTGACTCTGGGCATAGTGAGAGGACAGAGTGGAAAAGTGCCAATAAGTAAAATGCTTTGGGCTGGGCGTGGTGGTGTATAGTTGTAATCCCAGCACTAGGGAGATGCGGGCAGGAGAATCAGGATTGCTACCAGTTTGAGGTCAGCCTGGGCTCCATAGTAAGTTCAAAGCCAGTCTGCACTGCATAGTAAAAGTAAGACTTTGTCTATAAAAAATAAATCACACTTCTTTAAAGGTACTTAACTTCCAGTGTTAGGTACCTCTTTCAGGTTTATTTCTTTTCCATCCTGAGGCCCCAGAGATCACTGAACAAACTGAAAATATCTGAGGGGTCAGATCTTGCTCATTCCTTGGGACATATGGAGTAAATGGAGGAGCTTCACTATTGGGCACCTTAGATTAAACAGGTGCTGGTTTCCTCTCTGGAACTAGAACTCAATAAAATACCTTATTGTTGGCTTGGAATAAGCTTAAAAACAGAGTTGAGGTGGGGAGCTGGTGTGGAACAAGAGAAGAAACAGAAGGTCCAGGTGTGCAGTGAGAAAGTTGGGTGCAGGTCAGAAAAACAAATCCAGAGAGCTTTGATTGTGTGATATATTCCCACAGAGAATGGAAACAGAAAGCAATAGAATGGAACAACAACAATAACAACCAAAAACCAAAAACTCAAGACAGGTGGTTCCCTTCCTTGCTTTGGACCAAGACATGGGTATGTCAGCATTTCACTGAGTGTCTTTATCTCTAATATGGCGATCCTATTACCTAACCTCGAATGGTTGTGAGCATTATGTACAAATCAATCAATAGAAACCTTCATGGCTCTGGTACCATAGGTAAACAGGACCGTGGAAAAACCCCAGGACACAGCGCCTGCCTCTTGATGATGGTTTGTTTTTTTTTTTTTAGAACAACTGCCGGTGGCTGGGGAGACAGTGCAGTAGAATAAGTGCTTGCCTGGCAAACACAAGGTTCTGAGTTTAATCCCTGGTTCTGCAAAAAAGGAGGAGGAGGAGGAGGAAGAGGAGGAGGAGGAGGAGGAAGAGGAGGAGGGAGGAGGAGAGCCTCAATATAGATGAAATTTTATTGATTGATGTGGGAATTGAACTCAGGACCTTCTGCTTGTCAGGCAGGCTCTTCAGATGAAATTTTTTTTTTTTTTTCAGTTGAGATTTTAGATACACCATCCAGGAGGCCTTTCCTAATGATAGAACTAGGCTGTCTGGTTTCAAATCCCTGCAACCTCTTCCTTTTGGCTGTGTGAGCTTGGACAAATTATTAAATCACTTTATACCTTAGATTCCTCATTCATAAAAGTGATAAAAGATTGTACCCATTTAATGGGGTTGTGAAGATTAAATTCAGACACAGTATTCTTTCTGAATTGAAGCTAGGGCTTTTTCACTGAGCTACATCCCTACTTTTTTTTTTTTTTTTTCAGAACCAGGGATTTGAACTCAGACCTTTGCACTTGCCAGGCAAGCGCTTATTCTACTGAGCCATCTCTCTGGCCCCCAACCCTACCATTTTAATTTTAATTTTGAGTTAAGGTCTTGCTAAATCACTGAATTGCCCAGGCTGGTCTTAAACTTGAAATCTGCCTGCCTCAGCATCCCAGAATCCTGGATACAGGCATGTGTACTGCGACACCCAGCTGTGACACACCATTCTAAACGCATTAATCGTTAGTCTCACTGCAATTTATAACTCTCACTCCAAGACCCAATAGAACAGGAAAATTTTCACCAACTTTTCTCAGCTGCTTTGAATAAAGAATGAAAAAACAAGGTGTGGAGCTGCCCTCCTGCGATCTGCTCCTGAGACAGAGGCACTGAAAGTTTGAAGCCAGACAAGTTGTTTCCTGGATTCAATTCCAGTAGGGGGTTGGGGAAGGAGCCTTGGTAAGTCCACCAAGTCAGCTGGAACTGGACTTTGCTAAGAGCACCTACTCAGAGCTGGGTGGGGAAGAGAAAATTGTATTTTTGTACACATGAGGCGTTACTGTCCTCTGCCAGATACCAGGGAGTTAACCCGAGGAACAATTTGTGAGACAGAAAGGATTTCTTTCCATCTGGTTTTCTCTGCACGGTTTCTGGGACTACAGACAGTCCAATGGGTAGACAAGACTGCCATCTGGCGGTAAAAAAACCCTAAACTAGGTTTTTCTCTTACACTTCATGCCGTATTTTTCATTTTAAATTTCTAATCTGAGAGGTGTGTGGTGATAGAACCCAGGACCTCTTCCATGCTAGAGAAGAACTCTACCTCTAAATTACATCCTCGACCTGAAAAATTCTGGATCATAATGCAGTAAACCTTTCTTCTCTTTTTCTTTTTGTATTTTAGGGAAGGGTCTACAAAGGTGTTCAGGGTTTCACTACTATAGATCGGACTCGTAGTGATCCGCCTGTTTACAGCCTCTTAAGAGCTGGGATTACAGGGCACGGCAGGCCCGGGGATCGAACAGGCCCGGAGATCAAACTCTGGCCCCGGAACCTGCTTGCTGGCGCTTTATTTATTTATTTATTGCGGTACCGGGGATTGAACTCAGGCCCTTGCACTTGCCAGGCAAGTGCTTATTCTGCTGAGCCATCTCCCCGGCCCGTTGGAGGAGCTTTAATCCGCGGAGCTATTTGGCCGGCCCCTACTTCTTTTCAATAAACCTTTCTTGTAATCTCGTGTAGATTTTGTCTCTTGAGGTCCCGCGGCACGGTCCTGTTGGGTTCCCCCGAGTTACAGGAACTAACCCCGAGAAGGTTTGTTTTAGGAGCTTCAGGACTCCAGCTGCTCCAGACTCAGTTTGGAGGGGAATGACTTCGGCGGGGGGGAAAAGAAGTCTGAAGAGGGCTTGACCTTAAGATCTTTACTTATCCCGGTGCACGTGGTGGCTTGGGGTCCCGCCCACCGTCCTGGTCTCCCAGGCAACTGTCGCCGGCCCAGGGTGCTCCCCCACAGTGTTGCCCAGGCAACATTCAGGCCTGCCTCTTTCAAGGTCCTGACTGGTTCGCAGCAAATGTGGGTCGGGGCCTAAGGGAGGCATTTAGGTTTGAAGGTTGTGAGCCGGGGGAGAGGAGGCGGTGCTCCAAGGGGAGGGGGTGAAGTTCAGGACTTGCCGGGAGGGAGGACGCGGTTACTGGCTTGTCCCCGGGTGGAAGGTTTGTTACCCTTGGGGGAAGTCCGACGCCAGGGCCACTCTCAGAGGCGCTGCTGCCTGCCTCGGGGAAGCACTGCAGGAATAGCTATTTTCTGTCCTCTCCGGGGAGGATGCCTAATCCTATCTCCTCTCCCTTTTTGCTCCCAAAGACCTTGTTTTTGGGGTCAGTGGATTCATTCTCGGCACTGCAGGGCTTTTTTGGGACGGAGGGAAGGAGACAGGAGCAGGCTACGAGGCTGGGGCAGAAGCCTCCCTCGAGACCCCCATGTATTTTTCGGGCCTGGGGAGCTACTGGGGGGGGGGTTGCGAAT